ACTTTGTTTTTAATTCTTGCAGCAAAATGTGTTATTAGAAACCTTTACTGGGGTTTTGGAAAGTCAACAGTAACATAAATGAACAAAACACCATCCCCGCCCTTAAGAAGTATGCATTCTTGGTGAGCATGGTGATAAGATATATGTGTGGTATTGACAGTGCCAAGAAGAAAGTTATAACTAGAGTATAAACAATACACTGTGAACACAGGGGAGATATTAATTCTGCCAGAACTAGCAAGAAGTTCTTTGAAGGAAATGGTAATGCATATGGGCCTTTGGGATATGGATATGATTGTAACAGGTGAATGCACCAAAAATAAATTCCTAGAGAAATAGCCTTTAATTTAATCAACAAACATTTGTTCTTTGCCTGTAAAAATGCCGTATGCCGGGTACAAGGACAAAAAGCAGAGAGGTGGCCTAGAGTATACATACTGTGCTTCAAAGTGTCAAGTAAATCACTACAACTTTTGTGTGTGTGCACACTGGTGTGTGTGTCTGTGCATGCACATGCATACATTTGCATGTGGGTGTGTGTGTGGGGGGGGTATGGGGTATGGGGGTCTGGGAGTGCTGGAAGGGGGACTGTAGCTAGATCATGGAGGGTCTAGAATGCCTTAACTTATTTAGGGGAGAGAGCACAGGTCTGCCCTCAAATCCTGGCTCTGTTTCTCACTTTGAGACTTGAGGCAAGTTACTTCATCTTTCTGTCCCCCACGTTTTCCTATTTGATAAAATGGGCATACCAGTGCCTACTCTGAACAATTGCGGGGCAAGTCAGCATGTCTGCAAATCATCATTATGGTTTCTGGCGTTTCATGGCCACTCAATAAGCAGCAGGTATTAATTACTTCTTCTGTGGTCTGTAGGGAACGACGGACAGTTTGGGTAAGAAAAGTGGCTGAAATGGATTTGGGTTTTCAAGAAGTTGTGATAGAGGCTGTGACTGGAAGAATGCGTGGGGGTGAAGGGGTCAGTTCTGCTAGTGACAGATACTCAGGGAAGACTGGAAGAGGAATGGTTTCTTCTAGAAAGAAGGGTGGGGTGTGGTGACTGAGCCTGACATCTGGGACACCAGGGTGGAGGCTGAAGCGATGGTCTACGCAAGAGCTGTGGACCTGGACGAAGGCACTGGGATAGTACGGACAGAAGTTATGCGACTACTCAGATGGCAAAATGAGCTTGCTGACTGACTGGATGTAAGAGGTGAGGGAAGGAGAAAACTCTGGAATGATGGCAGGCTTTCTAGTTGTCCAGCAGCTCCACTAACCTGGATGTGTGGTACAGGAAGAGTGGCAGGCTGAAGGAGAGGGGGTGGGGGACAGGTAGTGGGGTGTGGGGGAGGGGAGGATGTGGAGGGTGTACTGAAGGACCAGAAAAGAAGAATGCCTCATTGTTCTGTGAGTGCGGGGAGAAACGGGGCAAGCAGCCTCCACATGGTGAACAAGTGAATTGCAGAATCTCTAGGGTGGGCCTGGCTTCCACTGGCTTCCACTGCTGAAGGATTTCTTCCTAACTGGCATCTGGTGCAGCTGACTTTCTCTTTCTAAGGCATCCCTTCTCATTGCAGACTTAGAGATCATCTTCAGAACTCTCCCAAAGGCCAACTCCATGGGTTCCAATCCTCCCGCTTAAACTCCTCCATCACAGTTTCCCAGAGAACCCACTCAGCCTCTTCAGGTCTGATCCTGAATTGTTTTCAAGTACAGCTGTATTTAATGCAAAGTTCATCTGTGAGGTCATTTCCTGACCTTCTAGCCAAATGTGTCAGGTGGTTTTCCACAGGTGAGAAGACACAACAACAACAGGAAAACAAAATTCCTTGCTCTGGCCTCTGTTTTCATACACTTCTGTGAACATAAAACCGGTAGCACTTACCACATATGGAAGATAACCCATCAGACAATACGAGAAAAATGTTCAGTGTTATTCAGTTCAGAGATGGGCAACAGCTTTGCCTCAAGCCCTGGTCCTCAGGCCTTGCTCTTTCCTCCTTCCAGAGGCAGATTATTAGCAAACGTCAGCACCAAACTGGGACCTTCCTAATATCACCCAGGGGATTGGGGAAAATTGGAAAGGGAATAGCCTTCTCGGTCTGTCGGTCTGTGTTATTAGACTCTGCGTCTCTGAACTGCTAAAGCCAATGTGGGTGCCAGGAGGCTCTTGTCCCATGTCAGGAAGCCCTAACCCCACTATAGTCGGTCATTCATTTTTTTGTGTCCCCACTAGATTGGGAGTTCCTGGACAGCAAGGGCTTACTAGTGGTGCCTACATATGCGATGGTTGCACACAGTTGATAGTTCATAAAGGAACAAAGTGAGAGTAAATGAAAACATTTAGGTGTGAAAGACTCAAGGCAAATTCTTTCCTGGAGAAAATTCTTTACTGGGGTGAGTGGGGAAGACAATGCTGGAGGGCCTGGGAGTCTAAGGGAAGTCTAGTGAAGGGTCTGAGAGGAGGGAGGCTACAGACATCCAAGCTGAACTACACTAACATCCTAATAGCGTTGCCTGATGACCTCTCTGTTGGTGGCATAGTGTAGTGACAAGAGTGTATGTTCGAGAATCAGACAATTCTAGGGTTAATCCAGATTCTCACTGTTTACTAATTACATGGACTGTGACCATACCTTTTTTTTTGGTGGGGGGGGGACTTAATTACCTTGCTGTAAAGTGTTGATAGTATCTCCCCTACAAAGGCTCTTATCACCTTTTAGGATAGAGAGCAGGACTTAGGAGACCAGCAGCAAATAAAAGACTTTGCTGTCAGAGGATATCATCCTATTTCTCCATCCATCAATCATATTCGTCTCAGTAAGTGATCAGGAATATTGCTGCTGTTCTTGTTGTTTTGGTAGTAGAATCCCCAGTACTCACTATGGTTACTAGCAAAATGTAAGCACCCAACAGATGTTTATTGGTTGAAAGAGTTACACTGACCTGAGCTTTCTAGAAGAAACCATTCCTCTTTCAGTCTTCCCTGAGTATCTGTCACTAGCATCTGCCCAGATTTTTAAGTCAAATGTCTTGATTCCTTGATTTGGAGTGCCTACTAGAGACTAGGCACTGTGCAGGGTGGTGGGATGGGGAAGGTAGGGGGGGAAGCTTGAAAGGATTTAGAGAAAAAAGCAAAAGAACTTGTCATTTGCTCAATTTTTTACCCTTCTTTAGATGTAGCTTATTAAGTGAAGCCTTTTAAGAGTGTTTTTGACAACACCCGGGCAAACATGTAGAAATACTTACAACCCACAGCCATCTGAATTGAGAAAGGCTATCAATACTGTGTATAGATTCCCTGGGACTAGCATATGCAAATGCCCTACTTTGGAAGTCTCACCATCTGTGAAAACTAGAAAAAAATACTATTTATTTTATCTTTTTTATTAAGACATTTTTTTGTTGGGGGGGGATACTATTTATTTTCAATCCTACTAGGATTCTCCACTCTGGTCCAAACTCTCTGTAGATGAGGCAAATGACTGGAAAGAAGAATTATAAAGGCACATGAAAAGTGACTCTTGGCTCAATCTTTTGGGAAACCAACTTAGAGCTGAGTGAGCTTGCTTCTATCTACTGAGTGTGGGCTGTACTTCCTATATCCAGTTCTCTCTATAAAAAACGGTTTCAGAAAAATTCAGTTAGTCTTTGGCTTAATTATAAGTCACTGGGCCCCTCATTTTAGTGTGTATGTGTGTGTGTGTGTGTGTGTGTGCGCGTGCATGCGTGCACGTATATGTATCTGTGGTGGAGGGAGAACTTTGGGCACAAAGCATGTATGTACTTGTAAAAAAGCATCTGGAATGTGTGCGTAGGAAGGGAACTTTTTGGTTCTTTACATCAGGAGAGAGTACGTGGAGGGGAAGATGTATGTGTGTGTGTGCATGTGTGTGCGTGTGTGTGTGTGTGAGAGTGAGTGAGTGTATGTCGCGCAGCTGGTGGGCTGAGGCACCTGAGCAGTCAGCCTCTTCGAGATCCAGACAGTGGTGTACGACAGAAAATGTCACAGACGGAGATTGTTTTCGTTTCAGACCAGCACACGGGTCTTTGAGAAGCCCTTGACTTTCTCCTCCTCCTTGTCTTGTTAAAAAGGGATTAGAGTCCAATTAAGTCCTTTAATCCCAAGGTAGAGATTCATGTTTTAAAACAAGATTTACAGCTTCAAAAAAACACATCAGTGCAAGTTGAAGTTTGTCCTTTCAAGTTGCCACCTGCATCGTTCCAAAGAGTGTTTTCAGCAGAATCCCCAACATGTAGTCGTTCTTAATTACCTTGCCTCCTACCTCCAGTCCTTCATCTTTCCAAGTACCCTTCAACCTAAATAGCCACATGCTGTTAAAAGTACTTCTGCTTCTGGGTTGCCATACTCTTCACTCCCTTTAGTTGGCAATTCAGTGTTTGGGCTTAATAATAATAGCAGGAAGAGCTAGTGCTCATCGGGTGTTTCGTAACGTGCCAGGCATTGTGCTAAGCACTTTGCACGTATTATCTTGTTTTCATTTTGCACTGGGCCCTGCGGATTATGTAGCCAGTCCTGAAAACACCTAGTAACCCACAGTTTCCCTTTCTCTTTTCCTTCCTTTCCACATGATGCCATAGGACAGAAAAGTCAATCTCTAACTGTGATGCCAAAATCCTTTCGGGAAAACGGGTGCCATTTTTTGAAGGGAAGTTCTTTAAGGGACAGGAACCATGTTGTGGATTTTGGCATGGGAAAGCAAAGTATCTGTGAGGATCTGGCAAGTTGTTTGAGTCCTCTTGGCCTCAGTTTTCTCATCTGTAAATTGGGGATAACAGTAATGACACCTAACTCAAGAGGCTGTTTCAAGGACAACAGGAGATCATGCGTCTGCAGCTCTGACACGTAATACACATGGCAGTAGTTACTATTAATGCGTTATGGATGCTCAGCAGGTACTAAATATCCAGTATTCCTTGTGACACGGTGTGCGTGACCCGCCTAATTCCAATATGCCCCGATCCCAATGGTGTGTTTCCTACCTGTCCCACAGAGCTGGGAGGAAGGTCTGCTTTCTCCATGTGCTGGGTAATCACAGAGGGGTTGCTGGAGCTGATGAGCACTGGGGTGCTGATCTCCACCATATGGCGCCCCGAGGGAGAATGAACCATCCTGTTGAGAGTGTTCAAGGCTGTTGTGATGGAGAACTGCCCAGGCCCCTTCCTCCTGGACCCAGGGCCCCTTCGCAGGGTGGGTGTGTTGGCTGCTTTGCCTCGGGAGGATGAGGGCACCAGGGACAGGCTCTTTGTGCGGGCTGACTGCAGGCCTTTGTTCTTCTCTAGGAGGTGTCTTGCAGTGAGGTTGGGCTGGAAACACAGAAAGTCCATGACAAGTTAGCTTCCTGATCTAGTGTGAGCAGCTAAGTCCTACCCAGGTTAGTCTGACACAAGTTCAGATGCCACAGTCATCTTTGGTCAACTTCCATCTTTTAGCGATACGTCCCAATTACTTTGCTGTATCAGTACACCCTGACGACTCCCTTGCAAAGCATGTATTGCTTTTATTCTTTACTGTGGTCTATGGGAGTTAAAAAATAAGCCATGATACTCTTGGCCGACTGGGAGCAGTCTTCCTTCTCCCATTTCTCCCAGGCACACCCCTACCCTTTTTCCTCTTTGAGCCTCCCTGAATGCCCCTGGGTGGGCTGCGGCCCCTGTGCTTTCCCACTGGGGCACTTTACACACTGCCCTGCAATCACTTCCCTTCCATTCCCGTTCCCCACGCCCTGACTGGTAGCAACCTGAGGGCAGTCCATCTCTACTCTACTCCCCAGAGGTGCACAGTGAGTGTCTGTGCAATCATGTATATGTGAAAGTTGCTCAGGTTTATACATTTGAGAAGCATCTGCACCAGAATGTAAATCTGTCTGGAACTTTGAATCTTTAAGCTAAGACCAGCTTTCACTACTTCCTTTGAACACTTCCATCTCCCCACCATTCTTTCCTATTCCACACCTCTTAGTCTGTGATATGCTGGCAAATCAGGAAAAGAGAAGAGGAAAGAAAAAGAGAAGAACGAGCCCTATTTCATAGAGTTTACTGATTTCTATGGTATAAATATCTACCAATGGTTTACAAGTAGCTAGTAAAATTCCTGAAAATAAAAAAGCCAGCTCTTGCAATCTAGTCCTACCTCTGGGACAACCACCAACTGTGCTGTATTTTGAGCTCAGTTCCTTCAGAAGGCTGAAATACGCTGACAAAGTTGCCCTCCAAAGCCACAAGTCTCATTCTAGTGTAGAGATTCAACTATAAAGGTAAAAGGGAATTTGCCCACTTAAGAACTTCTTATGACAATGGGCAAAGGACTAAAATAGCCAATATCGAAAATTTTAAAGATTTCTTTTTTTTTTTTTTTGGTCAGAGAGAGAGGGAGCGAGAGGGAGCATAGGCAGGCAGAGTGGCAGGCAGAGTGGCAGGCAGAGGCAGCGGGAGAAGCAGGCTCCCCGATGAGCAAGGAGCCCAATGTGGGACTCGATCCCAGGATGCTGGGATCATGATCTGAGCCGAAGGCAGCCACTTAGCCGACTGAGCCACCCAGGCGTCCCACCAATAATGAAAATTTTAAAGAGGAGGTAGTTCCGACCTCAAGAAGCTTGTAATATTGTGAAAGAGAAAATCATTAGGTAGGGAAGTGGCATTATTATGTCTACTTTACAGATGAGAGAGCTGTGGACCAGAAGGGGTGATCTATAAATGGCATAGCCAGTAAACAACAAAACAAGAGAATATCAGAAGTAAGAGCTTTGTGAGATGCCTGGGTGGCTCTATTGTTTAAGCGGTTGCCTTCAGCTCAGGTCATGGTCCCAGTGTCCTAGGATCGAGTCCCGCATCAGGCTCCTTGCTCCATGGGGAGCCTGCTTCTCCCTCTGATAAATAAATAAAATCTTAAAAAAAAAAAAAAAGAAAGAAAGAAAGAAGGGCTTTGAAGTGATAGAGAGTGGCAGGGGGAGGTGCCTACTGGGGGGGTGTCAAGGAAATCCCACTGAGGAGATGACATTTAACCAAGAAACAGATGACACAAAGGAACTAGCCATGTGAATATGGGGTTAAGAATATTCCAGACAGAGGGATCATATCCTAATGGAAAGATCCTAAGGAGGTAAAAAACAGTCTATTTGAGAAAAAGGAGAAAAACAAAAGTTGGAACAGAGAGAGTGAGGAGCAGGTAGTCAAAGAGACAGGCAAGGACTGGGTCCCAGAGGTCCTGGGAGGCTCAAGTTTATTCTAAGTGTAATAGGAAGCCTCTGGCAGGATTAGATAGAGGAATGACATGATCTGGTTTATGCTTTTAAAAGCTCATGCTACGGTTTGGCAGTTTCTTACCAAGTTAAACCCACACTTAGCATCTGACCCAGCCAGCCCACTCCCACGTAATTACTGAAGAGACATGAAAACTTAGGCCCACTCAGAAATTGGTATGCAAATGTTTATAGTACTTTACTCATAGTTGCTAACAACTGGAAATAAATGCATTGTCTTTGAACTGGTGCACGGACAAACAAACTCTAGCACATCCATACAGTAGATCATGGCTTGTCAATAGAGAGGGACAAGCTGCGGATCCACCTAACAACATGGATGAGTCCAGAATGCTCTGTGCTAAGTGAAAGAAGCCAGACTCAGAGGCTACATTCCATATGATTCCACTGAGAGGACATTCTGGAAAAGGGAAATTACAGGAGCAGGAATGAGATCAGCACTGTCAGCAGTTGGGAGTCAGGGAAGGGGCTGGCTACAGAGAGTCCGCATGCTGTTGTATTTTGGGGGGAGGTGTTGGGACTACTCTATTATCTTGATGGTGGCGTATGTATTTACCAAAATTTGTAGAAGTGGACACCAAAAAGAGTAAATTCTACCGTATGCAAATAAAAAGAAACACATAAAAGCTCATTCTGGATGTTATTTGGAAGTGCCAGCCCGTAAGTAGGAGACCAGCTAGGAAGTTCCGGAAATTGTCTAGGCAAGCTCTGATGGCAGTCTGGAAGAGGGGACAAGGTCTTACGTGCCCTAGAGCACCGATCCCTCCGTTGTTCATCCGGTAAGAGGACAACATATATTGTCTGAGTTGAATGAGTAAAGTTCTTTATGGCCATTCACAGGTACAATGAAATAGACTGATTTTTTTTCTTTTTCTTTTTTTATTTTTGCTTCTACCTAATTGTTCTGTCCGCGGTGAGCAACACCTTCATTGTTTTCATCAGAAACATTGACAAAGGACTCAGTGTGACTCTTGGTCTGCCCTGTGCTCTGCCAACATGATTAATAGCTCAGTTGAGGGAGGACTGCACAGCTCTTAAATTTGTACCCACTCATTTGAAACAATATCCTTGAGGTTCGTTGGGCTGAGCAAGGTTCACATAACCCAGGCAGGGCTCACTGGGGAAGTCCTGACAGGAATGGGTCTAAGCTCAGCATTTGTTTTACCACCTTTTTATCCAGGTGCTCTTCAATAAATCAAATGATACAATAACAAGAAAAATCCTGTTTGTGCAGAAAAAACAACAACAACAACAACAACAACAACAACCCAAAAACCCACGTCACTCTTAAAAGAAAGCTTTCCTTCTTTCCTATTGCTTTGCTTGGCACTAGTAATTCAAAACTTATTTAAAGGGTTCTCAGCAAGTGCTACTCTTAATGAAATGACTGGAGTCAAAATTTAAGTACTGCTTTAAAAAGCTCAATTAAGATTTCAAGTAATTTTTGAAAATCAGGTTCCCAGATTAGAGCAACCACTTGATTATCCTTTTTCCCTCCTCGCAATTAGGAGAACAAATGAAGCAATGGCTAGTTTGATGATAATCTTGAGGGTTCTTGTAATCGCTAATTTTAGAGGTGAAGTAGTGGGGAGAATGTCCAAATGAATAATCATTAAAAGTAGAAGTTTTGGAAAAAAGGGTATCAGAGATGGGTAATAAAACCAATGGTCCTTTCCCCCACCCAGAGCTATGGAGAAGCATCTTGAAATAATGCAGGGGACCGTGCAAACTCTAAAATGCAAAAATTGAACCACCTCCTATGTATCCAGCTAGGTATTAACTGTAGCTGATCTCTGTCCTTGGAGACTTAACCACTGTCTCCCCACATTAACTGTTAACTGTCCCTCTTTAGCAAATGCTACTTGACCCAGCAAATGCCTCCACCACTAACCTAAGCAGATATAAAGCAGAAAGTGAGGCACGCATTCCTGACCAGTTCTTCTGCCTGTTCCTCACTTCCGTCAACATTCAAGTCCTGTGGATCTACCTCCTAAGTGGTGTTTGAATCCATCCATTTATTTCCCATCTCCTGGTCCAACCCACTGTCATCTTGTAACTGGGCCATGCATACACTGGCCTCCTAACTGGTATTTCTGCTTTTTCTGCTCTCCTCTTCAAATTATTCTTCCCACTGTAGCCAGAAGAGCAGTCTTTAATAAACTCACGTCTGATAGAGTTCCTGGGTCCCTTAAAATCTTTCGATGGTGTCTACTGACTTCTGGATCAGGTCCAAACTTTTTATGATACGGCAGAGATCATGGTATTTTTACTAAACAGTCCTTGTGCTCCCCGGTAATTCTCAGCTACCTTGAAGACAGATGGGGCTAGGGGAACTAGCTAACTTTTTTTACATAGTACTTGTTCTGTGTTAGTCTAGCCTGTGCAGTATAAGGAACACAGCCATTAGGTATTTAGAGAAGACAGAGACAACTGAGTGGTCAATTAGTGGTGAAATTTTATGGAAGAAGCCAAGCTTCTAGTTGAGCCTTGTAACCTGAGTGAGATTTGAACAGGTGGAGAGAATTGGGTGTGTGTGCCTCAAAGGGGCCTCAGCAAAAGGAAAAGCACTGATAATGAGAATATTGTTTTACTAGAGACTGTAAGAAGACCAGCCTCTCGGGACTCATCCTCTTTCCTTCCCTTCCATTTTTCACCCCTTCGATATTAACTGAGTGGAAAGAGTTGTGGAGAACCTTGCAAGCTGGATAGTGTTCTGGGCACACCGTTTGCTTCAGAACCTGTTTTGGCTCTTAAGAATGAAAGAACTCGTCCCCCTGTATCTTCAATTTTGCCTTTGTCTGTTTTCACCCAACCTTCCTAGAGGGTGGAAAGCATGCCTCTTACTGCATTTGTAGCTCCCCACTGCTCACTTTTAATGCTTTGTGCCCGGTAAGCATCCAGTTAATGCAGTTAAACAATGGAACCTCTTTTAAATTTGTAATGACCTGCCTCAAGCTAGGGTGAGGCTCCAGGACAGGGAGGTTAGGAACTCCAGGTTATAGTATTACATTTGAGAAGTAGGTAGACGGAGTCTAGCATGTGCTCTTCCTTTGTTTTCTTTTTAAAGTAGCTTTAAAAAACCCAGAAAGAATATATCAATATGATCCTATCAGAAGATTTATAGGATACAAATCACGGATGAATAGGAAAATTATCTAGAATTTCACTATCTCATGATCACCACTGTTAATATTTTAGTACATATTCTTTCAGGCCTCTATTTATATATACACACATATTTATAAACCTAGTTTCATACAGTTCCATTTATTTATTGTGATAAAAGGCACATGACATAAATTTATCCTAATAACAGTTTTATTTTTATTTTTTCATTTTTCTAATAACCGTTTTAAAGTATATGATTCAGTAGTGTGGAATATAATTCATATTGTTGTGAAACAGATCTTCAGGACTTTCTGATCTCCTAATCCAAAACTCCATACCCATTAAACTCAGTTTACTTACCAAGAAATCATAAGCCTCTTTCCATAATACCAAATACTTAATGATATTGAATATTCTTCTTTAACATTATTTTTCATGGGTATGTATCTTTTCATCACCATAATTTTTAACAATGAAATCCTTATTGCCGGATACTTAGATGATTTCTGTCTTTTCACCATTATACACAAGGCTGTGGTGGATGCTCTGTACATATACCTTTGCATAGTTGTTTGAACATTTCTTTACAATAAATTCTCAGATGTGGAATTGCTGAATCAAAGGAGATGGAGGTTTTTAATGTTACTGATACAGGTTTATTTGAGTGTGAGCATGAGAAATCACACAATTTATACTCCTATCAGCAGAATAAAAAGTCCCCAGAAATGGGTGTTACCTTCTGGCATCTTTTCTTTGGAGACCTTAGTTAACTTCTAGAATAAGCCTCCTGTCAAAAAGGCATTTTTGTCAGGCATCCCTGTGGCGCGTGTGTATTTTGGTGAGCGTGCATCTGATGTAGACTTGAAATTCACGTACCTCTACGAACAAGATCGGGAAGATGCCTACTTGATCCCCTAATTTGCCTTCTGCCCAGTTCTCATCCACTCGGCTGATCACAGTGATGATATCGTCCTGAAAGAGACAAAGTCTCAAGGTCAGCATCTGCTCTTGGTTTTCAGATGGTGAAAGCTTTCACTGGAGACTAGCGTGGAATCCCGGATGGTGTAAAGTATAAGAAATGTAACTCTTTCATAATTTATTGATAAAATCTTCCTCTATAAAGGGCAGCATTTGAATCACCAAGACTGCAAGAGGAGTAGAAATAATTTGGAGGACCAGTGGAATCCAAAAGAAAATTTGGAAATATTTCTAATTTTCAATCACCAGCAGAATGTGGGCTTTAGTTTATATTAATCTGATGCAAAAATCAATATGGGAGCCATAGGGAGATAGTTTTTTAGCTTAGCAAAAGGAAGAATAAGTTTCATTCTAATTTTGAAGACTTTTCAGAACCTATTGAACTTTAGAAAAATTTTTTTATTTTTAAGTAATCTCTACATCCAACATAGGGCTCAGGTTCATAACCCTGAGATCAAGAGTTACATGTTTCATGGACTGAGCCAGCCAGGTGCCCCATTCAATTTTTAATGTATCAAATGTAAGGTGGCTTTTTTATTCAAAACTTTCTTATTATAAAAGATTACATATAGGGGCGCCTGGGTGGCTCAGTGGGTTAAGCCTCTGCCTTCAGCTCAGGTGATGATCTCAGGGTCCTGGAATCGAGCCCGGTGTCGGGCTTTCTACTTGGCGGAAAGCCTGCTTCCCCCTCTCCCTCGGCCTGCCTCTCTGCCTGCTTATGATCTCTGTCAAAAATAAAAAAATCTTAAAAAAAAAAAAAAAAGATTACATGTAGATTTCTAGAGACATGAAAAAATATAGTAAACAAAATAAGTAATTCTACCACAATATAGATACAGCCATTGTTAACAACACCCCCCATTCTTCTCTATGAAGATAAAACATATATACATATAAATACACTGATTCCTAAAAACTCTGCTGGAAACAAACACACATACAATAAAGTTCATTAAGTTTGGATGTAACGGTTGATACATACACATACAATACACATACAATACATACAATAAAGTTCATAAAGTTTGGATGTAAAGGTTGATGAATGTTAACACCCACTATATTCATGAAACCCCACCCGGATCAAGAGATACAGAACATTTCCAGCATCCACAAGCCTCCTTTGTGCCCTTACCCATCATCTAGCAAGCATATGACTCCTAGTATATGCGTATATATACATTCATTTGCCTAGCCTTATGTTTCATAACAAAAGAAGTCCTAGAGGACACACTGATTTTTCGCTGTATACCATATCAGGAATGCCTTTCCACTTCCATACCTGTTCGTCAGTCCAAATCTGAATATCTATTCACCAGTTGCTCTCAAGTTCTGATTCATGTCTCTCAGGAATTTAGATAAATCCAAATCTGAGTTCATTATTGCATTATACCTTTTCTTAGCTTTCTCTACCCCATCACAATTTATGACAACACATTTATAGGTTATAACATTTTTAAGGCCTGTCTACCCCAACAGACTATAAACTCCATGTGTTCAGGGCCTCTGTCTGCTCTGCTCATTTCTGTGTCCCCAGCACCCAATACAGTGGTTCCCATTTAGTAATCATTCAGTAAATATTTCTCAATGAATTGTCCATGCATGAATAAGTGAATGTGTGAGTAAACTGTACACTCTAGGGGCACCTGGGTGGCTCAGTTGGTTAGTAACTGCCTTCGGCTCAGGTCATGATCCTGGGATCCTGCGGTCCTGGGATCGAGCCCCATGTTGGGCTCCTTGCCCAGTGGGGAGCCTGCCCTTTTCCTCTACCTGCTGCTCTGCCTACTTGTGCTCTCTCTCTCTGTAAATAAATAAATAAAATTTATTTTAAAAAATTGTACAATCTACTGAGATAGAAAACACTAGGACAAGAGCAGCTTTTGGGAGGGAAGAGCTTGGGTTTAATTTGGACTTGCTGAGTTTAGGAAGACCATGAAATTTCCTAGTGTAGTCACAGCCTTCCAAAGCTTCCAGAAGATCAAATCTTCTCTTCTGTTTTCTTTGTCATAATTTCCCATTCATCTGTCTGTTCCTTCCACTAGTCTGCCAGCTCCGTGAGGGTAGGGACAATGGTACATCATTTTATCCCCAGTGGGCAGCTTGGCACATGGATGGGCTCAGTGAATGAATGGGCAGGTGGAGTAAGTTTTTACAGATTTTGCAAATTCCCAGAGAGCGGCAAAAATACAAATAATGATTCCTGCCTCTGCCTTCTTCCAGTGGTGTCTCCAGAGCTCAGTGCTTATTGCCTGGCACAAAGTAAATACTCAGTAAATATCTGTGGGATTAAACTGCCCTTCCTCTAAGTGTCACTGAAGCACAGACATTGCAGTTTGGGTCATGGAATGACCTTCCTTAAGGGACTCACTCTGAGGTGCCAAGACAATAATGATCAATATTTCAAAATATGGAGGACAGTGATGTTATCTAGCTTGAGGCAATGTGAAATAAATCTCATTTCTGATGGTGGTGGAGTAAAAATCTTTTACAAAATAGAAGACCTTTCCTGAGCTACTGTACGAGAGCCACTTCTAGTACTTGATGCACTTATTGCAAGCAGCAAAGAGTGAAAATCACCCCAACTTTGGCCTCTGCGAAGGAATTTAAATGTTTAAGGAATAATAAATATAATAAATACAGAATACAGAGAATTAAAGTAGTCCAGACTTTAGTAAAAGTGTTGTTACTTGCACACGGTGAGGAATTATCTGATTTAAAAAAAAAAAAAAAGAGGCAAGAAAATATTAGAGTAATTAATGTGCTTGGAAAATATTATCTTGTAAGAGGTTATTCATATATAAAGGTATGATTATCTTATTGTGTGTTTGGAGGGCTTTGAATACAATGTTTATAATAAAATAGAATGTTGTAAAGAGTGGAATGAGAGCCTCAGAAGTTGGCCACCAAGAATGCCTTACAGATACATAAAGAGGTAAGAGCTGTATTTTGCCCAGCACATTGTCAAAATGTATGTAAATTTTTGTCCGCTTATCTCTCTCTCCCACTAGTCTGCCTGAGGGCAGGAACTGTGACTTTTTCATACTGCATCCCCAGTGCCTGCAAAGAAGAAGTACTCAAGAATGACTATAGAATGAATGATGGGGCGCCTGGGTGGCTCAGTGGGCTAAATCCTCTACCTTCGGCCCAGGTCATGATCCCAGGGTCCTGGGATCGAGCCCCGCATCGGGCTCTCTGCTCAGGAGGGAGCCTGCTTCCTCCTCTCTCTCTCTGCCTGCCTCTCTGCCTACTTGTGATCTCTGTCTGTCAAATAAAATCTTTAAAATAAAAAAAAAGAATGACTATAGATTGAATGAGTGAGTGAATGAGTGAATACTTACTTTCGTCATTGCAAGAGGGAAGGCTTAAGGATTTCCATCAAATTCTCATTTAATTTCTCTGGCAACTTCCATTTAGTTTTGAATTACACACACACACACACACACACACACACACACACACATTACATACATGTGCACACATATCTACATATAAACATGCATGTGAAAATATGTATACTTTTTTAAAATCAACAAGTATTATACAACTCCAGGTTCTGCCACAGTCTCTCTGTAGTCTCTCGTGATCTCCATGGGTGCCCAGAATCTTACCTTGAGGAAGGTCAGGCAGTCCTGGTTCTCACTCTTGTCTTTGTCTCGTAGGTCGAAGTTGTAGAGAGCTCGGCAGAGTGGGGGTGGCTGGGGTAGCTGCTTGATGACTTCCACGGAGCTGGCTGGGAAGATCCCACTGACTCCATTGATCTCCCCCTGGTACCAGTTCTCATCCAGCTGCCTCCGGAGAAGGATGACATCTCCCTTATTAAACTTCAGATCACCAGGATTCTGCCCTCGGTAGTTACATACGGCCTTTGCTCGTGGCACCTGCAGTGGCACAGACCAATGAAATGTATCCTTAGCTACAGGCGAGGGGGACAGAAGGAATAACAGTAAAACTGACCACTGAGCACTTCCCATGTGCTTAGTGCTGGATGTGGATCATCTTCTTGAACCTTTGAGATAGACATTCTTATTACCCCTTCTTCTAAGTAGGGCAACTGAGGCACAGAGTGGGTTAGTACCTTGCCTATGGGGGGACCCAGCTGGGAAAGCAAAGATACGGGGTCTGAACTCAGGCTACAGGATTTCAAAGTCCCTGTTCTTTTTTCTTATCTTTTCTTTTTTTCTTTCTTATTAATACAGTGTTTATTTGTCTTCCCTCTGTCAAACCCTGAGTCAACCACTTTCTGCAGGCTGCCTGGGGAGGTATAGGGAAAGGAACATACATGGCAGATGAGACACTGGAGGAAAACCTAAGGGAGGTGGAGACAGCTCCTTCACATGGTGAGGAGGATGAGAAAGGCCACCAGCAGGCAAAAGATCCCTATGGCCTCCAAGAGGGCAAAGCCCAGAACAGCGCAGGAGAAGAGCTGTTGCTTCAGAGAGGGATTCCTGCCATAAGCAATGACGAGGCTCCCAAACAGTCCCAAAGTCAGCCCCGGGGCCAGCCCCCTCACCATGGCAGCCCCAGCCCCAGTGAACTTGGCTGCTGTGTTGATGTCACTTGCAATGGCTCTGGGTGGGAAGCTGTGGCTAGGAATGAGTGAGGTCAGGGGACGTGGGGCTGTCAAGCTGCTGAGGGTATTATAAGGTGTCTCCAGGGGTTTTAGCACCACTGTAGCTGGTGACCAGCTCAACGCTGAGAGGTGCCCCCTACCAAGAAGTGGGTGGAGACAAACTGTACCGGTGTACATTTTCAGGAGACGAGGGGCTGTTGGCAGAAGAGCTGCTCCCAGCGCAGAGAAGACAAGAGGGGCGGGGGCCAGAGCCCCTGTTGTTAATCACTATGCAGGGGACAGGATTTTGGACTTCCACAACTGTGTGGACTTGAGTGAGTCAGTGACTCTTTTTGGGGCCTGAATACTGATTGGGAATTCTGGCTCTACCTCTTTCCTTTCATGTGACTGCAGTCACGTCATTTAATCTGTCATAAATCATATCCATTTATAAAATGGCATAATAACAGAATATGTACTTCATTAGGGTAGTCATGAAGACTAAATATTTATAATGCATTTTCTAAAGATTTTATTTATTTGAGAGAGAAAGAGAGAAGTAGAGAACACAAGCAGGGAGGAGGGGCAGAGGGAGAGGGAGAAGCAAACTCTCTGATGAGCGGGAAGCCTGATGCTGGGCTTGATCTCAGGACCCTCGGATCATGACATGAGCTGAAGGCAGATGTTTAACCAACTGAGCCACCCAGGTGCCCTACTAAATATTTATAATGCATTTAGCATATTGCTTGATACATAGTATGGGCCCATTAAATGGCATCTCTTACAGGATGGCTATAATAAGGAAAGGTTAATGATACCAGTTCTACCTATTCCTCAGTGTTAATGGGAAGTAAATTGAGGTGAAAAGTCCCTGAAAATACAAAGTATTATAGGAGGGGCATCTGGCTGGCTCAGTTGGAGGAGCATGCAACTCTTGATCCCGGGGTTGTGAGTTCAAGCCCACACTGGGTGTAGAGGTTACTAAAATAAAAAATATATATATAAGTAAGGTAATTTTTAAAAAAAGAAAGTGCTATATGGCAGTGATGCAACATAATTTGTCTTCAGCTGCCTCCAAAAAGTGTAAACGTCATTAGTATTTGGATCATTAGGAAGCACTGAGACAAAGAATTAGTCAGAAATCAATCATTGCTTTTAAAAAAAAATCAGCTAAAGAACTGTCATTTGTTAGTTGTCTCTCTAAATAATTTTTTTGGTAAAGTGCATTTTTTTTTCCCTAATCGGAACTGGTTTCTACACACAGAAACAGCCTCACTTTGGTTTTGCTCGAAGTCAAGAGTGGCAGACTGCAAGTTCTTTTTTTTTTTTTTTTTTAAGATTTTATTTATTTATTTGACAGAGAGAGATCACAAGTAGGCAGAGAGGCAGGCGGGGGCAGGGGGCGGGTGGGAAGCAAGCTTCCTGCTGAGCAGAGAGCCCATGTGGGGCTCTATCCCAGGACCCTGAGATCATTACCTGAGCCAAAGGCAGAGGCTTTAACGTACTGAGCCACCCAGGCACCCCAGACTATAAGTTCTAGTAACTTACGTTTATTAGTCCTTCATGTCACCTGGGATTGTATTGTATTTTGTGCTTCCTTCAGCAGTGGGGGAAAGTAGCCCCCTCTCTCAGGGGCAATCTTGCTATTCATAAGGGGATGTAAGCAAGCAGTATTTCAGTTCTCCCGGAACCTTCTGAGTCTGCAATGTTCATTTGAAAAGGAATTTTAAGCATTTCAGAGGTAGAGACAAGACCTGAGCAGTCCTTGCTGATGGGATGTTAGAGCAGTGTTTTTTTTCCGCTAGACCCTGGACACAGTAAGGAGAGCCCAGGGAGATAGAAAACCACAGGAACGCAACTCATCCTTGGGAAACTAGTGGACAAGTGAGTGAAGACGTGTGCACTAGGAGGTTTAGCACAGTGCTGTGGATATTATAAATGGAATTGGTTGAATAAATTATGGAAAACCCTGTAGCCATTAATATTGATGATGTGGATCTATAATTAATAACATTGACAATTACTCATGATATATACTAAGTATAATAGAAGAGGTTAAAAACAGTTGTTTTTGTTATAAATAAAAACTAGGCTTTCATTGTAAATACATATGTATATTTTTACTTGGGATGGCTATATCAGCATTTTTTTTCAAAGATTTTATTTATTTATTCGACAGACAGAGATCACAAGTAGGCAGGGAGGCAGGCAGAGAGAGAGGAGGAAGCAAGCTCCCCGCTGAGCAGAGAGTCCGATGTGGGGCTCGATCCCAGGACCCTGGGATCACGACCTAAGCCCAAGGCAGAGGCTTTAACCCACTGAGCCACCCAGGCGCCCCTATATCAGCATTTTAAGAGTGGTTATTGCTAAGTGTTGATACTTTTGAATATTAAAAAAATGGTTTCCCTAAGTGCTTAGCCATATTTTCTAACTCTTCTACAATGAAATAATTATATTGTCTATTAAAATTGGACAGTAGGGGAGTGCTTGTTTAGCTCAGTCAGTAGACCATCCAGCTCTTGATCTCTGGGTCATGAGTTTGAGCTCCATGTTGGGTGTGCAAAACTACTTTAAAAATTTTGAAAAAAAAGTGGACAGTAGAAAGAAAATGAATGAAACTGGGGAATAAGAAGTGAAAGATATGGGAGCAATTTAGAAAGAAAATAAGCCAAGCTGAGTGGGATCATCAACAAACCATGCAACTACCTTCTTGGAGAAGTTTCTTATCTGAGAAATAACCAAGTAGAAGCAGAATGAGAGCACAGGATTTCTGAAGAATGACCTGAATCTGTTAAACTCCTAGTTTAATAGTTGTCCCCTCTTCTTCCAATTTTCCATTGTAATATAAATCACATTTTTGGGGGATACATGGCCATGTGGAACGCTTGTCACATTTGGAATTGTGCCTCCCCCAGGCAGCTAATTTTTTGGCCAGTGGGGTATAAGCAACTTTTAGGACATGTCGTTCCCGAGAGACTGATTTTCTCTTTCCTTTCCTGCATTTTGCTATGTGCAATGCAGACATTATTGCTGGAGTTTTAGCTGCCATCTTGAACAATGAGGATGAAGGTCACAGGGAAAGAGGGAAGGAAGTAGTCTGGATTGCAGAGCTGCCAGACAATTCCTGGACTACTTTGACTTCTAGACTTTTGTCTGGAACCTAAATAAATATCCATCTTGCCTAAGGCATGGTTATTTTGCATTTGTAAAAGGAAGGAAGAATGAAAAAAAATTAAGGAAAGAAAAACACTGAAGCCCTCTTAACTTTGCATAATAATGATAGTATCAATAGCTAATATTAGTGAGTGTTCCTTCCCATATGCCAGGCATTGTGCTAGGTACTCCACAATAGATCTTATTTAATCTCATGACAAACTGTGATTAGAAAACTGAAAGTAGGCGGTGGTGGGTTTAGAATTTGAGGTGGGATTTGTCTATCCTGAGGAGCTCAAGCTCTTAACCACTCAGCCAGTGTTTTTCAAATTCAAGTCTGTGGTTGACCTATATCAGAATCCTTGGAGATGTCCAAAATGCAGATTCCTGGACCTCATCTCTAAACCTCTTTGACCAGAATCTCTTGGTTGTATTTTTACCAAGCTCCCTTAGCATCCAAGTTTGATGCCCCTGGTCTGAGTTACATCTTATTCTAACTAAAATGGGAGCAATGGAATATCGCTGTAGGCTTTGTGAATGGCTAATCTACCTTTTTTCTCTCTTTTCTGGAAGACATTCCAGTGCAAGTGGCAGTGTATTTTAATGACTACTAAGCAAGTATATTAAAACTGAAATTGCATACAGTCCTGAAATCTCTGTGCAGATGCATGAACTCTGAAACCCCGAGACAGTACTAAGTGCTTGACCATCTTCGTCTTTCTTCCATCTCCCCTCAGTAGAGGTAAGTATTGTGGAATCATACTGTCAGTCCACTTTTAACACCTTCTTTCTCTTCAGTCTGCCCTGGTATTCTCAGCTCTACATTCATACTTACAGGAACCACTGGCTTCCTGTTGTAAACTGAGTTGGGCGGGGTCAGGTGCAGAGAGAGGGGGAGAGAATCTGAAGAGAGGAAGGCAATTAACATTTATTGTGGTACAGATGGGCCACAGAAATTTGTCTCACAGAAATATTTACTTCAATTTCTAGATATTATGTCATTCATATGATTTCAACATCCTCTAAAGTAGGTAGCATCACCCTGTTGTATTGAGGAAGAAACAAAAGTACTGAGATGTTCAACGTTATCATGCAAGGTTACACAGCCAATGTGTGGCATCCCCGAGATTGACTTGGCTCTTTTGACCTCGAGGCCTGGTGCTCCTCTCACGCTCATTCTCTCTCATCCAGCTGAAGTCACCAAGTATGTTTTTCCATCATAAAACTCATTTGGGGCTCTGTTTCAAAATCAAAATCTGAATAGAGTGTGAATGCAATTTGCTTGCTGCTGGATGCATTAGCATGAATTATTGAACTCCAGAGCCCTCACATAAAAGTTAAGCACCTGAAGAGACTCAGCTGGTTGATTCTATCCGGTTCTCAACTGTTCTCTCAGGGGAAAATGACTCTGAGTTTCACATCAGCTATCACCCGTGACATTGTTAGTAATAGCTTTTATCACCCACAATTGTTTTCTGTCTCTATAGGTGTATGTGCGAGGGGGTAATGGGGATAAAGTGGGTGTGGAGGTCTCAAAGCTGGGTCATTCCCAAACTCTTTTTCCTGGTGTTTTTCTGAAAGCCAGAGAATCCAATGAAAGCCTGCATGTGCCTAAAGAGCTTTCCTTTTCTATAATTCAAAAGGCTCAAGACTTCTATGTCTATTCATTTGTCACCACAGTAGGGTCTGAAAGCCACAAGGGCCATGCTTTTGATGGAGGGATAATGCATGGAACCAAGAGACATGGGAACGAGGTCATGCAGAGACATTAGCAGCAGTAGCATTCTGTAGTAATGAACGTTTGTAGTGAACTTCTGGCAAGCATTCCTTCTCTGAGGAACCACATGTTTTCTCTCCGTTTTCTGATAGGCCTGTCATTCACTCTGGTCATACCACACACACAGGGGTTTGTGGCCCGGGCTAGCCAGGGGACCCAAATGCCCCTCACATAGTGCTTTGTGTAGTCAACTGCCTCCTACAGGGCTAAGTGGAATGTTCTCTGAGGTTTGATAGATAAACGCTCTCTTGGATCATAAGCCTTGAGG